GATGTACAAATGCGCTTTACACAATTGATGTGTGTATGGATTGGGATAACAGTTGTATGAGCCCCTAATAAAATGTTAAAAAAGAGGGGGGGAAAATAAATAAATAAATAAATAAAAACAAAAAAGGAGCTCCTGAGTGTGGTGCAAATGTCCATTGCTTGACTTCTAACAGAAAGTTAGAGTCCACCCAAAGGTGCCTCAGCAGAAAGGCCTGGTGACCTACTTCTGAAAAGCAGCCATGGAAAAAGCAGAGTAGAGCAGCTCTACTCTGATAGACACGGGGTTATCATGGGTTGGAGGCAACTAAATGGTTACTGGGTTGTTATTCTTTCTAACAACAGGCATACCTATATATTGACATGGATTTTAAACTCCTCCCCCCAATAAAATATGGTATAAGTAATCTGTTTCCATGCTCCCCAATAAGTCCCCCACTGACCTACCCACCCACCCTTGCCCCCTCCCCAAAAGAAGAAATGAGGGACTCACATTGGTGACATATTCGATGTCCTTCCAAAGGATGCACTCCCTGGGGAAGTCAGCCAAGTCTAAGAAGTGATCCACCACCACTTGGCCAATTAAGTCATGGCGCGAGAACCTGTCAAAGTCATACACGGAGAAGTGGAGCTTCCGCACAGCAAGGTCATTGTAGGGAACGGGGAATAAAAACACTTCATCAAACACGGGGTTCAGGGTCTTTCGGTGAACTTTAGTCTGGTGTTTGGTTTTACGATCGGGAAGCAAATAGATTTTGACATAAGGATCTGAGGTCCCCGAGAAGTCCTTGGCTGGCAAGTTGACAGCTTTGTGAATCTTCACGATGAGCTGCTCCAAGTCACAGTCGTATTTTAAGATGAAGTTGAGCTTCCCGCAGGCTTTGCTGTTGCTTCTCCTCCCATCCTCGTTATCCACTGACCTCTGCTTATACAACTCCGGCTTGATTCGACCAATGCCAGTCAGCTGTTCCTGCTTTTGAAGCTGCTGGATGTTGAAGTCTGGGTTTGACAAGTTGAGTTGTCTTCGGATTGAATTATGCCTTGAGTGAAGAGCAAGAGAGAACAAAGTTATAAACCTCATTAGCTACCGGCCTTTCAGAAACTTGTGATGTAGGTAGACGGTTATGTTCCACTAAAAGCTTAGACCTGTGGGCTTTCTGTTTTTGGCCTATATTCAAAGTACTCAAATAAGCTGCTCCCTAAGGCTTGAGGCTTAAAATTGAGGGTTGATACCAGGAAATGAACTTGCTAACGTGATCTTGGGGTTTTAGAGGTTCAATACAATTTCTAGACTGTCTAAAATGCCACGAAATAATGTACAAGAGGGCTTCAAAGGTTCGTGGAAAAATTCTGTCACCTTTTCAATCCCATTTTCCACCACCTTTTTGAAGTCCCCTTTTATTTGACTGCTGAACTATAAATATATACACAAACTTTAAATATATATATATATATATATATATGTGTATATATATATATATATATTGTTCTCCTCTACATATAATTACATCCTGAGATTAATCTACTAGCTAAACATTGCCTTTAGGAGAATGAACCTTTTTCTCTAAATTACCTGGACATCCCAGTATACCTTATAGCTTTTAAAGAATGCATGTTCTTTTTTGTCAAAATCTGTAATTCCATCACAGGGACATTGTTGTTGCTCGTTTGTGAATGCATGTGATCGGAGCATGTCTGCTTTTGTTGTACCATGCGGGCAATTAGTGGTCTGGAGATAGGATTTATTTCTGAAACAATCATTAAAGGGCATGAAAATTCAAAGTGAGCTGCTATAAAAAATGCATTTAAGGATTCAAGGCTGGAGTCCGACATTTGCAGGTTAACTATGTGTTAACGAAAGTCTGCACCACTCGCTATCGGTTTGTTGTACTATGGTGTGTACTATGGTTGCTGTGATGCTGGAAGCTCTGGCGCCAATACTTCAAATACCAGCAGGGTTACTCGTGGTGAACAGATGTCAGCAAAGTTTCCAGACTGAGACAGACTAGGGAGAAAGGCCTGGAGATCTCCTTACAAAATTAGCCAATGAACATTTTACAGATGACAACAGGCCATTCCACCTTGCATGCTTAAGAAATACCTAGAAGGATACTCTGCTGGGGGAAGGCGTCATATTTGGTGAGAGAGGTCTGGGTGAGGGCGAGGGAGATGTTCAGTGAAAGCAAACTGGCACAGATGCTGAAACTACGGACTTTAAGTGCTGCAAATCATGAGGTTGATACAGGACTGAACGATACTTTGTTCTTTTATTTATAAAGTCACTGTGAGTTGGAGATGACTTGACAGCTGCTATCTATTTATCTACCCACCCACCCAGTTGTATATCATTCATCTACCAAACTACCTATTGACATACCTAAGCAAGTCTAACCTTCCTGGTTTGGGTTAGAAGTCTCTTTTAAAACTACCTTATCTGTGTGGATTGTCACAAGTTGAGAGAAGCAGTCTTTATATATGCGGTTGTTGGTAAAAAAATTTTTTTAATCATTTTATTGGGGGCTCATACATATATCAACTGTGTAAAGCACATTTGTGCATTCGTTGCCCTAAACAATCTCAAAACATTTGCTCTCCTCTTAAGGCCTTGGCATCAGCTCATTTTCCCCCTCCCTCTCCACTCCCCCTTCCCTCATGAACCCTTGATAATTTATAAATTATTATTTTGTCATGTCTTATACTGTCCGATGTCTACCTTCACCCACTTTTCTGTTGTCCATCCCCCAGAGAGGAGGTTATATGCAGATCCTTGTAATCGGCTCCCCCTTTCCACCCCACCCTCCCTCCATCCCCCTGGTATTACCACTCTCAGCACTGGTCCAGAAGGGATCATTTGTCCTGGATTTCCTGTTTCCAGTTCCTACCTGTACTGATGTCTAGCCAGATTTGTAAGGCAGAATTGGGATCATGATAGTGAGGGGGGGAGGAAGCATTTAGGAACTACAGGAAAGTTGTGCTACACTGCACTGACTGGCTCATCTCCTCCCCGCAACCCTTCTGTAAAGGGGTGTCCAGTTGCCTACAGATGGGTCCCCAGTCCGCACTCCCCCTCATTCACAATGATTTGAGTTTTTGTTCTTTGATGCCTGATCCCTTACTTTTGCTTGTTTTCAGTTCAGAGTTCAGTCATTACTGCGGGGAACAGAAGGATTTCTCTTAAGTTGTCTCCCCAAAATATATGCCAGATTTAGCATGAGAATGATTGTTCTCTAGGCAGCAAAAGTAGGTCAGGTTATTCTCCCCAACATCAGCCATCTAGACTATTAGTCTGACTCACCCTAAATAAGACCCACTCCCTTCTGATAAGGATAGTGGTGGTCTGTTCACTTGCAGGAGATACCAGAGAGGGCAAACCCACCCAAAGATGACCAAGGTTAGGTAGCCATTATCAGCTGTCTAGATCAAGCAGACACCACTGTTTATCCCACAACAAATGTGGGCACACCCCTAGGTCATCCCCCTCCTATTGATTGTATTGCCTATGTCGCTACCCCTCCCTGTGACTTAGGTTATTGTCTGCTATCAGGCAACTTGCATGCCTCCCAGGATAGTAATTGCCCGCTTTATTGTATGAGACACCAGAATGATCAAACTTGTTCTAGAATGAATTGTATTGCCCCTTTCTGTGATGAATGACTCTGTAATCAGATCCCCCTAAAGTGAGATAATGCGTGGTTAGCAATAAATAATGAGGCTCCCTGGTTCTCGAGAGGGTGGCTGGAGAAGGTGGCTAAGGAGGATGAGGCAGTGGCTTCTCTGATGGCTAAGCCCTCTCCACAAGGACCATCAAGCGGGGCTGAGGTGAGCGATGCTACTATGAATTGCATCTGACTCCATTACTTGACTCCATCCTTTAACTCTCATGCTCTCTATGATTTTACTATAATCTCTACTTATTATCGCTGTGCGATTGCGCCTACCGAACCTATGTTTTGTGGGGTTCCCTCTTCCCTTTAACCCCACACATTACATTGTATTGTCTGTAGTCACTCAATAACCTTCATTAAAATTGCCTTTCTGCTAAAAAGTGAAAGGGAACAGACGCTCTGTCTCTAAGGGATTGATAAATACTTGGAGAGGTAAACATTTGGATGCATCTCCACTTCCATTCTTAAGACTGCTTTATGAAATAAAGACATAAAAATGGGATTAATAGGCCCCAAAACATGTTTGAAATCACTGTCCCTTGTCATCATAGAGGCTTTCCTACTGATCATTCCTCTTCTTTCTAAAATATCCTCTCTCCTGATCACTTACCACCCCTGTGGAACCATAAGAGCATAATCACAGAGCAGCCACCTGAACTTGTCACAACCAACAACGTTTAAAGCCGGTAAATGCACCCCGTGTGCACCCAAGCAAATTACACGTGCTCTGCAAGCGGTTGTAAGATTGTAATTCCTTATAGACAAATCCACAATCTTAATGTTTCTCCCTATCTTTGTGATGGCGTGTGGGGAAGGGAGAGCAGGGGATGCTGTGAACGTGCTTAAAGCCTATGGCCCTCTGAGCTTGACCATCAGGACATTCCCATGTTCAGAAGAGGAACTTTTGTCACGAGAGATTAGGACTTTAATCTTGGTAGGAGTTCAAGGGACACAGAAAGAACCGGGATGTAGGAGTAAGTACCCAGCCCTGGGCAGAGGTCATGAGGGGTTAGCACCAGCTCTGTCCCCCTCTGCTGCTGCTTCCTCTCTCTAGAATGTTTTTTTTCTTTCCTTCTTTTTAAAGGGCTGTAGGTACTCTCATCCTCAGTCCCATCCCACCGATTCTGAGCATGCTACGTGCTGTCTCCTCAGTGGCGCTGTTGAGAAATAGAAGCACACCTTCAACACCTCCTGGAAGCCCTCTCTGGGTCAGTTTGTGCTGGAAGAAGAAGCCTGCATCTACAGTCAGTCAGGAGACTGAGACCACAGCTTCTCCCCTAAGGTGCTCCTGAGCAGACTCTGCCTGACAAGTTACTTGTTCTCTGAGTAAGGGCTTTAGAGTCACCACAGTAACCTTTTGTCTTAACCTCTGTCTTTAAAACTAAACTTGGTCAGCTTTGCGCAGTGGCAATATCGTAGCCAGTGAGGTTTATCCGAGGCGCGATTATTGCTAATTGAAAAAAAAACAAAAACTAAACTTGGTCCCATAATTTTTCTTAACTGTGGAGAAAGCTTGTACACTCAAAAGTGTGCGAATTTAATAATTCCTACCCGGAAAATCCAGTAACACTGATTACCTTCTTCAGGCCGTGCAACCACTTTCACTCTCCTTTCCCAAGGGATTCTCCTTCCCTTATTACAAACACATCTCCTAAAACTACCCTCAACACAAACTCAACATCTCCTAAAACTACCCTCAACACAAACTCAACATCTCCTAAAACTACCCTCAACACTAATTCAACATCTCCTAAAAATTCCCTCAACACAAACTCAACATCTCCTAAAAATACCCTCAACACAAACTCAACGTCTCCTAAAACTACCCTCAACACAAACTCAGTATCTCCAATTACCCTCAACACTAACACAACGTCTCCTAAAACTACCCTCAACACAAACTCAACGTATCCTAAAACTACCCTCAACACAAACTCAACGTCTCCTAAAACTACCCTCAACACAAACTCAACGTCTGCTAAAACTACCCTCAACACAAACTCAACGTCTCCTAAAACTACCCTCAACACTAACTCAACGTCTCCTAAAACTACCCTTTGGCAGCACATACATGACAATCAGAACAATGCAGAGATTAGCATGGCCCCTGTGCAGGGATGACATGCAAATTCTTGAAGCGTTCCATATTAAAAAAAAAAAGTGCTGAAGTAAACACTGGTGCTGTATGTATGTATATATACATATATATATAATTTTCATCTTTAATTTAAAGCACATGATGTGGCTACTTAGCAAAGGCACATAATCTGCTTTACTTATGCAGTTTCTCAGACTTGAAATCTGAAGAGAAACATATTGCTACTGGCTTTTTCTAAGTACAGTAGCTTTACAGAGAGTTTGGGGTGGGGAAGGCACACATAAGGAGAGCTCTGTGTTTCAAAGCCCCAAATGAGACGTCATGTCCTCAGAGCCAAAATGCCAGGCAGCCCCCTACAAAAATCCAATACAGCCCTTGATGCTTTCTGGAAATCAGCCACAAATATGAATGTCATTCTATACCCACATGTTATGTAATATTGGCTTTACTCCTGACGCTTTCCCTCCCAATTAAAATGACACTATTTGAAAAACACAATTGAATCTATCTGTAAAGTAGTGGCTGAAAGCTGATAGTAAAGACTGTAACCAGGCCTGATAGCTTCTCACTCCCTAGGGCTCCATTTGGATTGCTTGCAATTTCCTTTCAGGAGAGAACTGGAGATTATGGGAGTTAAGGGTAGAATAGAGAAGCCCTGTGCAGCTGGAGGAGGGTAACTCTTAACTTCCCTGCAGAACCCCTGGAACTCTCTGGGCTGAGAAAAGAGAAGGTAGAGCAGGGAGGCTGCCACAGGGATATGAAAGAGAAGAAGAGGACACGGGAAATCTATATTCTGTGTCAGTCTATACAAATGGAGGAAGAAAAAGCAAGTCAAGAAGAGGAGGGAAAGATGCTAAACAGGAGTATGGGACTCCCTTCCCAGTGTAGATGAGGTGTTTGGATATGATCATGGAGTACAGCCAACTAGAAGCTCCTGGGAACAGTTTGGGATTGTAATGCCACTGACTTAAGTTAGTGTGGCACAGTGGGGATCCCGGCCTAAAGCACAGTCTCTGAAGAGCTCTGTGGGGTCCTCCTTCTTGGTATTCACTGGGCACCAGTGAGGAAAAGAGGAGGTGGTTCAAAAGGATGGAGCGATAAGAAAGCCAGGACGTGGGTGTTGTCCGTAAAAAAAAAAAAAAAAAAATGCCCCACTCTCATTGAATGTTTATCTTGGCTCCCAGCTCTCTAATGGGATGGCATCTTGGCAAATTAGGATTTCAAAATCACCTTCCCTAGGTTCAAGTCAAGGCAGGGAAGTGAGAAAACAGTGGAGACAGGGTACTTGTAGTAGTCTGGGTAGACTAGAGAACCAAATCCATAAACACTCACGTGTATAGGAAAAAACTTTATATATAAGAGCAATTGAATATTGAGAAAACATCCCAGCCCAGATCAAGTCCATAAGTCCGATATTAGCCCAAATGTCTGATACCAACCTATAAATTCCTCTTGAGACTCACGAAACACATGCAATGATGCTGACTACAGGACAATCACAGGCCAGTGGGTGGGAAATCTTGTGCATCCAGGGGCCTTGTAAGCATTTCAGTGCTGGCAGGGGTCTCCACGTGGCTTCTCCAGCTCAGGGCACTAGCCTAGGTCTATGTGCCTTGTCTGCAGAAATGTCTCACAGGGAGTGAGCATGTGACCTGCCTCCAGCAAGCTATTTATGTCCTTAGCGCCTCCAAATGAGGTCATCAAGCTACAACCTGATTGACAGGCTAAACTCCACCCCTTCACTCTGAATCCTCAAATTGACACCAGAATGTGTAACTACCACAGTACTGCTTCCCTTCTTGGAAACTTTCCTGGTGGAAAGAATAGAGTTGGGCTGTCATAAGTCTCAAGAGAGACACAAGAGAGAGGAAAGGGGCAAACAAGGGGTAGACTAAATTACCTGACAAAGTCAGGAAGAACCAGGAATCTGGGGACTTCTTGACCTGGAATTCAGGTACTTCTCAGATGCGGAAACACTGCAGGTAGAGGCATAGGCCCTGGGGCCAGTGGAGGAATGTAGTGAAGTACAGCTGGACACAATACATGAGCTCTGTCCTTCAACCCTGAGTTAAACAGGTTTGGATCCTTGGTGTCTTACCTCCAATACCGTATATCCTGTGTGAGCTGAGGTAACCCTGTGTCTATCAACATTTTCCCCAATACTGCTTACATTCCATGCCTCTTTCCACCTCCATCATTTCAAATAGTGTTCAAGCATTCATCAGTATAGGCTTAAATTGACCCCTTGCTTGCAGTCGGCACCACTGTGCTGCACATGTTATACACTCTTGCCAGATTAGCCTTCTAAAGACCAATCTGACCACCAATATAACTGGTGCTTTTCTTTAGTTTTCTCAAAAGACTTAGCACATACAGAAGTTGGCACATAGCAGCTGCTACTCTAGACATACGTGTAGAGTACATACATGCATGTCATGTACATATCGCTGTTGTTAGTGGTCTTTGATTCATGACAGCACTATGTGTACACAGAACTGTTCCATGGGGTGTTCTAGGCATTAAGCAGCATATTACCAGACCTGTCTTCTAACAGGTCTGTCTTTCTTTGAGTGGACTTCAACAGCCAAGCTTCAAACTAGTAGTTAAGCACTAGTGTACACCACCCAGGGGATCCTTATGAACATAGTTGATGTTGTTGTGGAGGCAGCTCTGATTGACTCATAGCTACCCTATGCACGATTAAAATAAATATTGCCCAGTCCTGCACCATCCTTATAATTACTTTTAAGTTTGAACACATGTTACATTCATGTGTCAATCCATCTCAAGGGACTTACTCTTCTTCAATGCCCCTCCACTCTACCAAGCATGATGTCCTTCTGCAGGAACTGGTCTCTTCTGACAACATGTCTAAAGCACATGCTCACCATCCTTGCCTCTAAGGAGCATCTGGCTGTACTTCTTCCAAGACAGATTTGTTGATGCTTTTGGTAGTCCATGGGACTTTCATTACTCTTCACCAACACCATAAGACAAATTTATCATTTTTTCTTGGTCGTCTTCTTTTTTTTCTCACAGAAGAATATACCCGAGCTTTATTTTAGATTTTTAAATTTCATCTCTAAATGCTTAAATTTATTTTACAGTGTTTAAAAACAGACAAAACAAAACGATCTATTGTTTAGGGAGATTTGGCAAAGTGGTAAAAACTATATAGAAAAACATTGGGCTGATTGACCCAAGGAGCCTCTAAGCACAGTGTCCAATTTCTACTTCTGTTTTTAAGCTTTTAAAAAAAAATCATTTTATTAGGGGCTCATACTCTTATCACAATCCATACATACATCAATTGTGTAAAGCACATTTGTAAATTCATTGCCCTCATCATTCTCAAAACATTTGCTCTCCACTTAAGCCCATCAGCTCATTTTCCCCTCCCTCCCCATTCTCCCCTCCTTCATGAGCCCTTGATAATTTATAAATTATTATTTTGTCATATCTTACACTGTCCGACGTCTCCCTTCACCCACTTTTCTGTTGTCCATCGCCCAGGGAGGAGGTTATATGTACATCCTTGTAATCGGTTCCCCCTTTCCACTTTCTTGGTCTTCTTTATTCAATATTCAACTTTCATATACATATGAGGCAAGTCAAAATACCATGACTTGGGAAAGGCAGACTTTAGTCCTCAAAGTAACAGCTTTGCTTTTCAATACTCTAAAGAGATCTTGTGCTGCTTATTTACTGGTGTAATGTGTCATTTGATCTCTTCACTGTTGCTTCCATATATATTGACTGGTGATCCAAGCAAGGAAAAATCCTTGACTTCAATCTTTTCTTCATTTATCATCATGTTACCTATTGGTCCAGTTGTGAGGATTTTTATTTTCTTTACATTGAGTTGTAAACCATACTGAAGGCTGCAATCCTGGATCTTCCTCAGCCAGTGCAAGTCCTCCTCATTTTCACCAAGCCAGGTTGTGTCATCTGCGTATCACAGGTTAATAAGCCTTCCTCCAAGCCTGATGCCTCATTCTTCTTCATATAATCCAGTTTCTCTGATTATTTTCCCAGCGTACAGTTAAAAAGTATGGTGATAGGATACAAGCCTGACGCACACCTTTCCTGATGTTAAACCATGCAGCATTTCTTTGTTCTGTTTGCACAACTGCCCCTTGATCCGTGTACAAATTCTGCGTGCGCACAATGACATGCTCTGGAATTCCCATTCTTCTCAAGGTTATCCATAGTTTTTTATGATCCACACAGTTGAATGCTTTGGAATAGTCAATAAGACACAAGTAAACATCTTTTTTATATTTTTTAAAATCATTTTTGGAGGCTCATGCAGTTCTTATCACAATACATATATACATCCACTGTGTCAAGGACATTTGTACATATGTTACCATCATCATTTTCAAGATATTTTCTTTCTACTTGAGCCCTTCGTATCAGCTCATTTTTTCCTCTCCTTCCTCCACCCTCCCTCCTTCACAAACCCTGGATAATTTTTAAATTATTATTTTTTTAATGTCTTACACTGACCAATATCTCCTTTCACCCACTTTTCTGTTGCCTGTCCCCCAGGGAGGGGATTATATGTAGATCTTTGTGATCACTTCCCCTTTTCTCACCCAACCTTCCCCTTCCCCTCCTGGTTTCACTGCTCTCATTATTGGTCCTGAGGGGTTTGTCTGTTTTGGATTCCCTATTTCCAGCTCTTATCTGTACCAGTGTACATGCGCCGGTCTAGCCAGATTTGTAAGGTAGAATTGGGATCATGATAGTGGGCGGGGGGGGAGCATTACAAAACTAGAGAAAAGTTGCATGTTTCATCGATGCTATACTGCACCCTGACTGGCTCATCTCTTCCCTTGTGACCTTCTGTAAGGGGATGCCCAATTGTCTACAGATGGGCTTTGGGTCTCCCCTCTGCACTCCGCCTCATTCACATTGATATGATTTTTTGTTCTGGGTCTTTCTCGTATTCTTTTCTTTCACCCAAGATGCATCTGATATCAGCACTGATATCCTTTGTCCCACATCCTCTTCTCAATCTGGCTTGAATCCTCTGGAAGATCCTTGGCAAT